AAACTTTTGCAGAGTGCCACAATAATGTTTTTATTTTTTATCTTTGTTCAATTTATGACATAAAAAGTAACTATGCATCAATTTTGCTGTGTTTACATCTTTTCCATTAAAAATGACCAAAATATGTTATTTATTGAGGGGTGCCCAAACTGTCGCATACTACTGTAGACACACACCCATAAATTGAGGAATAGGTGAAACTAAAATTGAGCAGTGGTCTCTCATTTTTTTCGACGGCTGTATATTGTACAGCTATTTCCAATACATACTGTTTCTAATACTATGTGTTCTGAGCACTTGTACTTTGTGCAGTGACAATACAATTGAATCTAATCTAATCTAGTGCATGTGTTTACATTTTTAGAATCAGGCAGCATTTGTGTCTCTCTCCTTTGCATCATGTCTTAATGTCCATACCTGGGGGGGGGGGGGCAGGTACAATTTAACCTTGAGGTGCAGTTTTATGCTGAGAAAGGGTTTAATCTCAAAGGCACAGGTGCAAAATGTGTTTGCGTATGGATGTGCATACAGGCAGTCCCCAGGTCACAAACGAGATCTGTTCCCTAAGTTGAAATTTTAGGTAAACCAGAACAGGCACATACAGTTTTCACTTAACGTCAGTTAGGTAAAGTACATAAAAATAATATAGTAATAATAAAAGTAATTCCATACAGTAGTGTACCTTATGTAATATGGCTTTAAAATGCGTAAATGTTTGTTCAAGCTGATGCTGACACCTGTGTTGATACGATGTTTATCTAGCAATAGCGACATAATCAAAATGGTTCTGGTTATATAGCTTACATAGCTCTTTCACAAAACCTTCTTAACACTACGTCGTTTGTAAGTTCGGTCTTTTAACACAGAACTTACAAACAATGTAGCATTAAGAAGGTTTCGGGAAATTCACCCCTGTTAAATACTGCATGAAGTCCTCGCTAATGCAATGGAGCCGATGAACCGCTAAAGCCATGCAAATATTTTTTTTTATCAGCGGCAAATTTTTTGTATTATGGACTCTATAGCAGTCCGTTCATAAGTACTAGCTGTCCGTAAGTCGGACGTTCTTAACTCGGGGACTGCTTGTATTGGGTGGGAGGTGTTTGGGTAGTTTGTTTGAACATATGGTCAGATGTGTCTTCAGTGATGTCTGACTGTGTGACATAGGAGTAAAGGATCCTTTATGTGCAGTATGTGGGTGTGGAAATGCAGTACTGTGCAAAAATCGAAGCCCACAAAAGAAAATTGTTTATATGTTTTAACTGATATTTATGTTGGTAAAGAAACTACAAGTTTTTGTCTGCTGAAGCGAGTAAGCTTTTCAAAACCTCTCCAAAAGCCATCATAGCATTTGCAGTAACCATCCAATATACCCGTGGATTTGTTGACTCAATCACTAGCTCACTATGTTTGGCTAATCAATACTTCAACAAGTCATTTAACTAATGGAATGGCTGGGGTGCCCCTGCAGAGGGATTCTGGGAACTATACAGATGAATAAGTTCAAGCTTTATCATTGATAGCCTAAGACTTGTGCGTGATACTGTATGTTTGTGTTGGCATGCCCATCTTGCTAAAGAGGTGTTTGACAGGTGTTTGACAATCAGAGGAGAACTTATCTAAGGGTACACAAGTTAAACAGCAAAGGCACTGCTCTCTCAGAGGTCCTCCTGCAAATCTTTTTAATGGATGAATAAATTAATGTTGCATTTATATAGCTCTTTTCAAGACACCCAAAGAGCTTTATAGAACCAATGGAGAGCCACTTAAACCACCACCGTTGTGCAGCCCCCACCTGGGTGATGCGACGGCCGTCATTCTACGCCAATATGCTCACCACACAGTAGCTAAGGTGGTGACGGGGCAGGAGAGAATTCACCAGTTAGATATAGGGGATGATTAGGAGGCCTGATTTGAAAGGAGCACAGTGAGTAGTTTTAGCCAGGACATTGGGGTACCACCCCTACTCTTTCAAAAAATGCCCAGGGATGATTTATGACCCCAGAGAGTAAGGGCCTTGGTTCTCTGTCTCATCCCAGGGCGGTGTTATTTTTACAGTACAGTGTCCCTGTTACTCATATATTCTGACTGTAGTTCATGTTGTCAGCTGTCCATGCGAGGTCCTGCCAATTTAAAATAGAAAAACATTAAATGCACTACATCCCTTGAAATTTGGTCTGATCTCCCCTGCCAGAAAACAGCCAATAGGGTGTGACCTCCTCTTTTCTGTAAAACCGCCAACCAGGATTTGACCTCCAGTTCCTTGTAAAACAGCCAATCAGGATATGACCTCCACTTCCCTGTAAATCAGCCAATCGGATGTGACCTCCACTTCCTCATAAAACAGCCAATAGGGTGTGACCTCCACTTCTCTGTATAATAACCTCTATACCTTCAACCCCTGGAAGGAGTAGGTGGGGTGCCATTTGATCTTTGGAAAATGGCAGTTTTTTCTATATGGTCACTATTGTCATCTATGCATAGAACTTTTCTTGGCTGAAATTCTAGTGGCTCTAAGCTAGGAGACACATGTCCATTTTTAGCTGCCCAGTCCTTAGCCACACCCTTCTTACCTCTGTGCTAAAAGACCCTTTGCTGCTGCGTTCTCGACCGGCAGCGAGCAGCTGGCATTCGTGAAGCCCCTGGAAGGATCTGCCGCTTGGCACATCACGGTCGATTCGGCTTGAGCTTCGCCTGTCGGCTAACTGGAGCGTGTTAACGGTGCAGACAAAGGAATGTGCGTTAATTAGACCTGCTCCAAAGGTAGCGGCATGCTGCTCTGAGGAGACACATGATCTCATCCTGTCCCGAGCTCTTTAGAAACCTCATAATTTGTCCTCCTTGTTTTCTTCTCGCTTGATACAAACCAAAAACATGGTTTCAATGTTTTGGTGTAAGGCTTTTATTTTGAAAGGTGACATCTGGTTGATAGCATGTGGACTTTTATTTTGAAGGGTGACGCATATGGCTGGTGCCAGAATGTGTTCCCATCCCCCTTGGGGGCGCAGACGGACTATGGTCACTCCCTGTCCGTTATCACAAACTATGGTCCAGAAGTATTTGCAGTCGTATTTGTCATTAACACCTTTATAGATGCTCATTTTCCACTGCTCCGTCAGGGGTCAGGGGTCATCATCAGCTTTTCCCACCATTGGCATTTACTGGGCTTTTTATTCATCTCTCCATCTGGATCGTCCTCTGGTGGATCACGCCAAAGAGCTCTGGGACAGTTTGCCTTTGCGAGGTTTGGCTGCTTATGCCTGAAACCATGAATGATAAAGAGGAGGATTGAAATTTCAGGAATCGGGGAAGGAGAGAGAAGAAGTTGGAACCTCAATACCTGAGACTCTTGGGGGTCCCATGTACTTTCTCCCCCATCCCTACCCTTGCTAAGTGTATTAAATTGAGAGGCCAAGCCTGTTTAATTGTCGGCAGCAAACACCTTTAAAATGGAGGTGAAGATCCATGCCTTCATGCACAAAGACGCGAGCGGCGGAGAGCAGCAGTCTTAGCCGCTCACTGCGCACACAGGTTTTCAGCTGGCCTGGCTGCTTATCCGCTTGATTAAACGGATTATTACGCTAACTGAGCTGACACGGCCGTCCCTGTTGGAGTTAGTTGGTTAAAGAGGCCTAGTAAGACCACCCACGGCAGCAGTCCAACCCTGGGGTGGGGGGGTGGTTGCAGCACCGCCAAAATTGCTGCTTTTATCACTGTTTCCTCCCCAGAACCCATCAGCCCTGCTCTCAGTTGGTTTGTGAGAGATCACTTTTAGCCAAGTCTGATATAATGTGTGCATCGTGGAAGACACTGCTGTTGTTCCTGTCTCCAGCAGGGGGTGCTGTGCTTCAGGGCTCTGCACACCTGTCTCAGAAATCCACAGGGGTCTTGCCTGTTCTGCGTTGATTGGGGTCCTCAGCGCAGGATAAATGTACCCCTTGCAGGGTGTATAAGTATTCCTTTAACTGCTAGGTGGGGTTGCGATGCCGTGTCAAGTTATTTTTTTCTCCTCCTCTTGGCCATAGGTTTCCTCCTGTCATCTTGCTGTCTCTCACTTCTCCGTTCTTGAAAGAAATCAACACTCCCACCTAGGTAGATAGAGCGCTCTGGGACCTGTTAGGCTTTCACGCTATGCCGCTGGGAATTATGGGAAGAAGTTGTGTTATTCTACCTTCATTACCGTTCCTCCAGCTGCCCGTCACTGGCCTTTTCAGGAGACAGTCCCAGTGGCCGTCAGACTGTTACAGGCCACTTGCCAAGCCGGCAGACGGAAGTCGGGTGACGTCCTGCAACCTTCCGGCAAACGTCATGAAGGGAAACTGAAGGGTGAAACGTCCGTAGCCACCCCAGGGATGGGGTGCCGTGTGCGCGTGGCAGGGAGATGTCCCTGGGGGCTTCAGGCTCTCCATAGAAACCAGCATCATGGCATCTCTGCTCCCACGAGCCTCAGGAAAAAAAAGCCCAATTACGCTTCACAGCTGGCTGCCATGCGCTGCCCCGTTCAGACAGACTGGCGGAGTGAGAGCCGGGGAGAGACGTTTAGCAGATGATTTCAGTCGCGAGCTTTTGTGTCGCAGGAATTCCGTTCGTTTCATTCATGCAATTACTCAGCCCACAATAAGCCGCACCTTTCAATTTACATCAGATCGCATTTTAACACATTTCTAAGTCATAAATTTTCTTTGTGCTACTTGTCCCTTTTTCCATCCTTCCGTTCATCATCCTCCTGTTTTCTCTCATTTCTCTTTTTTTTTCTCTGTCCCTGTCAAACTCAGCCTTCGTGTCCATTTCTTGGGTAAAGCAGCTGAAATCCTGAGCAGAACAAATAAATAAAGACACAAATGACTCAGGCGAGTCGCCACATACAGTAGGTGATGCATTTCTGTGAGGATGCAGTGGACAGGGACATGCAGAGCTGCTGTCTTTGTTACATTAGTGTCTTCTCGTGACCTTTCATCCCCTCTTTTTCTGTTTTCTTCCTTTTTCGTTTTCCTCTGCAGTTCTTCGTGACGACTTCAGGCAGAACCCCTCGGACGTGGTGGTGGCGGTGGGGGAGACGGCCGTTTTGGAGTGCCAGCCCCCCCGGGGGCACCCAGAGCCCACCACGTACTGGAAGAAAGACAAGGTGCGCATGGAGGATAAGGACGACAGAGTCACGGTGAGTGTGTGCGTGTGTGTGTTTAAATTCACTGGGAGCCCATGCCAAACGCTGCAAGTTCAAACGCTGTCACCGAATCCATGGATAAACTGCAAATAAACAGCTTAAGCTGCAGACACTTTACGCTCCATTGCAGTTATTTACAGACTTGCCCACAGCATTTAAATGATGCTGTTTTTTAACAGGCTGGCTGTAAATTTCTGGCTGCTGGCAGCTCTGCACCCAAGAAAGTGTCTTGTTTCACATGCCTTCAAAGTGATGACTGATGTTTGCTGAATATATGCTCAGAACAATATAAACACCTGCTGAAAATGTGTTAAACACCTGCTAAATACCTGTTAAATACCTGCTGAAGATGGGTAAATACCTACCAAATACCTGTTAAATACCTGCTGAAATATGTTAAGTACTTGCTGAATACATGTTAGATACCTGTTAAATACCTACTGAAAATGTAATAAGTACCTGGTAAATATATACACACAGACAGATAGACAGACGGACATACAGACAGACAGATAGATAGATTGATAGATAGATAGATAGATAGATAGATAGATAGATAGATAGATAGATACTAGTTTTTTTTAGGACCTGCTAATAATATAATTACCAAGTCACATATTCTACAATCAAATAAGCAGGCAAACAGAAATTCTAGGCAGCAAATATGTCACAGTTCTGCCTAAATGTTGGCCTGTGCTGTAAACAGGACTACGCAGACCATGTTTTTTGTCACGTTAATGTGTCTGGTTATCAGTAATTCATTGAATGTTTCGGTCGCTCTGGTATTTTGTGAGGGCATTTAATGAGCTGGGCTGAACCACCAATGTCTGTTTTCCACACCAACCCGGCAGATCCGTGGGGGGAAGGTGACGATCACTAGTGCCAGGCGTAGCGACTCCGGAATGTACACCTGCATGGCCGTCAACATGGTGGGCGAGCGGGAGAGCGAGGCAGCCCAGCTGTCCGTGTTCGGTGAGGACCCCAGACTCAGCCGTCCGCTGAGGGCCTGTCTTAAAATGTCTAACTGGGAAAGGGGGCAAAGAGTCAGTCCATGAGTTGTTCAACTGTCATGTACTTGGTCCCAAACATCTCAGGAGGCCAGGGAGCCCTGCTGTTCTGTCTGTGATTGTGATACCAAACCTAAATCGTTGTAGTTGTTTTAGAGTAATGTTACTAAGCAACAGGGGAAAAAAATATGATCATGCCGCTCTTGTTCTCATTCCAGAAGGCACCCTCTATTCGGATGCCATGTCTATGCTTTGAACGGTAACATTATATAGGTTTATTTCCCAGTAATTATAGTGCAGTGAGCCCCTTAACTGCTGGTTGATTAATACTTGGGATGGCTCTGACGAGCACTGTATGGGGGGGGGGCTTTGGGTGGCCTTCAAATTTCCATGGAGACCATTTATGATACCCCCCCACGCCATACGCCCACTTTTTTCCCAGAGAGACCCAGTTTCCTGCGGAGGCCCACCAATCAGGTAGTGCTGGTGGAGGAGAGTGTAGAGCTGCGGTGCCAGGTGCAAGGCGACCCACTGCCCACAGTGCGCTGGAAGAAGGACGACACCGAGGTGCCACGCGGCAGGTCGGTGCGCGTGATCGAGCCGCGCGTCTGTCGCTGTCTGTGTATGCCCCCTAGCCATCCTCTCCCCATTGGGGCTGCATCCTATTGCGCCGTTTTGGCTGTGTGGTGATTCGGTGCATGCTGATTTGCTGCATGTTGATTCACTGTATGCTGATTCGCTGCATGGTATTTCACTGTTTGATGATTCGTTGTGCGGTGATTTTCTGCGTGCTGATTTGCTGCATGCTGATTTGCTGCGTGCTGATTCACTGTATGCTGATTCGCTGCATGGTATTTCACTGTTTGATGATTCGTTGTGAGGTGATTTTCTGCGTGCTGATTTGCTGCATATTGATTTGCTGCGTGCTGATTCACTGTTTGATGATTCGTTGTGCGGTGATTTTCTGCGTGCTGATTTGCTGCATATTGATTTGCTGCGTGCTGATTCACTGTTTGATGATTCGTTGTGCGGTGATTTTCTGCGTGCTGATTTGCTGCATATTGATTTGCTGCGTGCTGATTCACTGTGTGTAATTCGCTGCATACTCATTCGCTGTGTAGGCCCAGCTGAACAGCGTGCATGCTTGTTGGAACGTGTATGTTTGCTTGTCGACTGGGGCTAATCCAGGCTAACTGATCCCCCTCCCACAGCTGGCTCATGTGGGGTCGCCTTCGATCACCACCCCCCCCTCTCCCCCCCATGGTGTGAGATGGGGGTATCGCTGTCGGGCTGAGGAGGTGGACCTGAGTGGGGTCAAGTCTCCCAGTTCCCAGGCTGACTTCTTGCTCCTGGCCATGATGCTATCAAACCTGAGCTAAATGGCCAAATCACCATGGAATTTATAATTTATGTGCAATTTATATTAGGAAATTATGTATTATAGCACAATTTGTGCTAACTGTTCATGTGCGAGATCTGTAGCTCGACACTCCTCCGTTTGGGTTTTTTCTGGGTCAGATCAAACTCTGAACCTTGAGACCAGGTCTTGCCCAGAGATGGTGTGTTTCTGTTCTGAGTGATTCGGATGTTGACCATCGCTGGCTTATTGGATTGGCTGCCCTGTATCCTGCTCAGCCACGAGGACTCGATTCTGGGCACGACCCCCGACCATCACAGGGAACTGAGTCACCGTGTCCCCAGGAGGACCTGTGGAGACTCTGCCATCCGGCGGCACAGTGCTGCATCGGATGTAATTCTGCAAGGCGGGCCGGCTCCAGACCCATTGGCACTGGAGAACTCAGCTACAGTGAATAGGCTTTAAACCTGCGTCCATGTGCCGACTGGCTGTTTGCTCACCGCCCCCCAAAAAATGGCATTTTAAACACATGCAAACTCAGACCAACCCCCCCCCTCCCCCACCAGGTACGAGATGAAGCAGGAGCGTGACGAGCACGTGCTGCGCATCCGGAAGGCTCTGGTGGCTGACCAGGGTCGCTTCACCTGCGTGGCTGAGAACCGTGTGGGGAAGGCGGAGACGGAAGCCACCATCACTGTCAGGGGTGAGTGACCTCTGACCTTTAACCTGTAACCCTCTGCAAGTAACCGGTATGGACAACAACAAAAAGCATCCCATAATCTCATGAATAAGGTTTAAGTATTATAGATATAAAATATGATACATATTTAATGTAAAATTGTACAATAATGGATCATATATAGCATAAATATGATTTTAATTTATAATATATAAACAAAAACCTAATGAAGATATACGATATATAATTATATACAATTTAGCATCTAGATAGTGGATTTATGTGAGCTGTTACCCAGCTTGATGAAAAGATCACAGAGATCTCTGCCCCCCCGGCTTGTAAAAGCCGCTTAATCTTCATGTCTGTGCCATGAGTACTGCACTCTGGACTCGCAGATCTACTGTAGTTTTTCCAGGTTCTGTCTGGCTCAGGCTGATATCGATCCGCTTGATAGTTTCTATTTTGTGTGGGGACTGGGGCGTGAAGGTGAACGCAGAGAGACCCCCCCCTCCACCCTCCCCTTGGGTCATCCCGGCCCGAATATGGGGTTATGAGGAGGGTCAAGTCACTGTCAACAAAAACCAGCAATTGATTGAGATTGAGGGGCAAGGGGAGTTGGGGGGGGGGGGGTGTGCTTTACGGTGCTTGAGCTCCGTTGATTCTGGTTTGATTTGGAGGTGCATGTTTGGAGCCGTGACTTTCCTCTTCTGTGACTGACGGCGAAATAGCCGCGTTACAAACATGCTTATTTTGAGTGGAGTGGAAGCCATCCAAATTTTAGCCATTTTTTTTAGTTAGGGATGGAGCTTCCAGTATGTTCGAGCCTGTCAAATACCCCAAATCCCCCCTACCCCCTCCCCCCCCCCGACTCCTCTTATAGCGTGTCACAGTTGGCTGACATGCCCTGTCGGCTCTATTGCACAAAAGCTGGAAGGTTCATGAAAATGTACTTTTATGCTACACTCACTGCCCTCCGGGCTCCAGTGGGTCTCAGTGTGTGCATGTGTGTGTGTCTGTGTCTCAGATATACTTTACCAGATATACATACCAAATGTCCCCACAATGTGATAAAAACCTGTTATTTTGATGTTGTGGGGACCATTTTTTCAATCCCCACAATGGGGGATTCAGTTTTATGAAAATCTGTGTCAAAAAAATGCCGAAAGACTTGTATTTTGTTTGGTTCCTTATGGTTAAGGTTATGGCTGGGTCGGGGTTAAGGTTCTCATTGTTGGGATAAGGGATCTGCTGATAGAAATGAATGTACGGTCCTCACAAAGATATAATTACAAACCTCTGTGTGTGTGTGAGCGGGTGAGTATGTGGGAGTGCAGGGGGGGGAGGAATAGGAGGGATAACAATGGTGCATGATGCAGGCAGACAGGATGGTAAGGCTTGATAAAATAACCTTCAATTTCAAGCATTTTTAAATAATAGATTTATATGGCGCTGGAGTTCACTCACTCCCACAGCAGAGGGAGGGTGAGGTCTTTTTGCACAAACAGAGAGAGGAGAGAGAGAGAAAGAAAATGGACAGACAGAGGAGGGTGCTGGGAGAACGGTTTTCAGACACCAGCGCTAAATGTTGCCATTGTGTTCTTGAGCACAGCTCTAAAGCTCAGCTGCTCTGGCGAAATTCAGAGTGAGACAAACTGAACCACATAAAAGGTGGCCGGGTGAGATGGATGTCCAGAGAGAGAGAATCACTCAGACGCTATTGGTATGAGAGATATTAATGGTGCGTGAGCTTCTGATATTACCCACCAGGTGGCACTATGCTCCTAGCAGGAATGTTGAGCTTCCTTAAGAGGAAAGAGTAAGGCGTAGCTGGCCAGTCAAAATGAAGTGGCGGAGCCCCGATCATTACACAGGAATGCGTCATCGTCCTGGTGAAAATTAGCGGGATTGCCTTATGTGCTATTTTGGCAATATTTAGTCTTCAAAGATTAATCGCAGCAAAGCATCCCAGCATGCCCTGGGGCAGGGTGTACCTTCATCCTCTCCACTGCTGCCCCCTTCTGGGGCTATGTCATATGCGACATGTCATTCTTTCTGAATTTTGTTTTCCCTTTTTCTTGTCCTCCTTGTGTTCTTTCTGTCGTCCATTTCCTCTGCTTGTGTTCTTCTCCCACCCGCCATTGTTGTCTGTCCAGCTCGCCCCGTGGGTAAGTACCCATCCTCTGACAGGCCGCGTCCTGCATGGACCTCGCACAAACATGCACGCACGCTCACCCCACCCACTCACATGCGCTTCAGTCACCCGCGCCTCTGTGCCCGTTCGGCCGACTGATCCACATCCATCGCATTGGTGGGTGTGCCATGTTCCCCGCCACCCCGGGCCTGTGTCCCGTTCTGCGAGGCAGAGCGTTACGTGTGTAGGACCTGTGAAATGTGTGCGGGTTTTTTTTTTTCTTGCAACAGCCACGAGTGAGCAATTCTTGTTAATGCGACAAGCCTAGAGTAGGGCATGATCTCTCCCGACGACATGAATGAGAAGTGGGTACTGATCTGCTTCCCGAAGGAGGAAAATATACAAGAGGTGTCTCTTTGGCAGATCCAGGTGCATGCTGTCCTTCCCTGTGGTTCTGAACCTGTTGGTTGGCCCGATCTTCTGTGCAGTGCCTGTCAGTGAAGTCCCTATCCCCTTCAGATGGTCTCCCCACTAGCTGTACAGTAATGGGAGCTGTGATGTGTTTGACCCTTGACCTCAGCTGCACCGCAGTTTGTGGTCCGTCCGCGGGACCAAATCGTGGCACTGGGGCACATGGCCATCTTCGCCTGCGAGACCAAGGGGAACCCCCAGCCCACTGTCTTCTGGCAAAAGGACGGGAGCCAGGTAATGTATTTGTGCCAGCCAGTCACCTGTCAGTCACCTGTCAATTACTCATCAGTCACCTACCAATTACCTGTCAAATCACCTGCCACCCGTCAGTCACTCACATGTCAATCCCTCACCTGTCGTCTGATTCCAACCTGTCAATCACTCACTTGTTATTCATCTGCAACCTGTCAATCACTCACTTGTTATTCATCGGCAACCTGTCAATCACTAACCTGCCAATCACTGACCTTTAATTTGTATGCTACCTGCCTGTCATCTGTGATCAATACCTGACTGACACCTGGATGTATGTGTGTGTATGTGTGTGTCTGTCTGTCTGTCTGCCTGTGTTCAGAAGAATTCCACCAAATGCCCCCGCCCCAAACCAAAGCAACCATTATCTGCACTTACAGACTCATGCCCACCCCCCATTTATGTCCCCTTATATGCAGCCCTTTCTGTGGACACACCCAACCCTCCATAGTGCCGTGCCCCCTCTTTTTGTCAAATGTTGTGACTTTTGCCTATTTGTTTGTTTGTGTGTTCTTTGTCTGTAAAGAATGGCTACAGTGTTGTAGGATGCATGTATAAATACACAAAAACAACTAAAGATAAAAACAATAATGGCTTGCATACCCCGACGGATTATGTTTGTGCAGTAAACAAAACACCCCTTGTCCCATCTCTGTCTCTCATGGTCGACATTAGGAGAGGCGCAGCAAATAACGAACGAAAGCACTAATTAAGTCATTCAGCCAATGTAAGGGAAGCCTTTGTGTCTCACTTGGACGTAATGAAGTGGACATCTATCAGCCTCTGAGTGGGGTGGGGGTAATTAAAAAAACAACATCATTAGCTGCATTAAGGCCATTAGCTGTAATTGAATCAGGCTGATGTCTTCCTTTTTTATCCCATCATTCTGTTCTGAGAATGAAATGAAAATGTCTTCTTGATGCAATCGTCGGAGAGGAAATACGGCTCTGAGATGCTGGGTAGGGGAGGTTTTGGTCGCTGTCAGAAACCCCCCAGCTGTCCCCCTACCCCCATACCCCACCCCAACATTGGCTGTCTGCGTCAAGCCCCTGGCTTTAATTAATTACCAGCTTCTCCTAAATTGATTAAGCCCCGCGAACTGCTTTTTTCACCTTGAGTTGCTCCACTTTGAATCGAATTTGAGCGTTCGGAGTGAGGGGGGGGGGGGGGGGGGGGGGCGCAGGCAGGGAGGGAGACTGACACGAGTACTGGTATCTGTAAGCGCGAAGCGAGCAGAAAGGGACGCTGGGGCCGGCTTCCATGAGTAGGAGCCCATTCCACTCGGACTGCCTGGTGTTCCTCATTACGGTGATTCCAATTTCTGTGACCTTCAGCGTAGCCCTGGGAGGTAGGCTCAGTAAACAGCCAATCAGTGCAAGGACTGGCTTTAAAGGTACAGTGTTTGTCCTGTAGTTGACTGTAAGGGGGGGTTCATTATGCATGGTATATATATGTCTGTACAGGTGTGTTCCGTACATGCTTCCTTGCGATATGTGTGCTTACATGTCTGACTCCTTTCTCCTTTTTCTTCCAGAATCTTCTGTTTCCCAGCATGCCCCAGCAGACAGACAGCCGCTTCTCTGTGTCCCCCAGTGGGGAGCTCACCATCGCAGCTGTGCAACGCGCCGACGCCGGCTACTATGTCTGCCAAGCCCTGACGGTGGCTGGCAGCATCATGGCCAAGGCACAGCTGGAGGTCACTGACGGTGAGGCCACACCCCCAGTGCAAAGCCACACCCATTACACACAACCACACCCACCATGAATAGCCACACCCCTTATCTATGGCAGCCACACCCAATGGCTTTTGCAGGGAGGGCTGAGCCCCTGAAAAATGCTTCTGAATTCCCCCCTTCCCCAGGGCAAACCTACCGTTATCCACAATCACATACTCACGGTCCCGCCGTAGTGTCTCGGCCCCTGAAAGTCTTCCCATATCTCCCCCCTTATGGGCAGCCCTGTCTGCAGACACACCCAAACCCCCATTTTGCCACGCCTCCTCTGTGTCATGTGACTCACTGACTTTTGCCTACTTGTCATTGTGCTTGACTTATCAATTGCATTGCACATACGGATAAATGTATCATCATTCTGCAGACAAAGTTTCCTTTGTATGCTTTTTATTTTGCTACGTGGGGCGTGTGACTTCAGTGATTTCAGAGCTGGAGGACGGGGCCTTCCAAGTCCACAGGTGGTGACACCTTCAAATCTCCACTCCCCGCTGGACAGGGTCATTACCCTAAGTGCCAGCGCCCGCCTGTGGCAGGATGGCAGCTAATGTCTGTTTTTTTTCCCCTCCTTTTTGGCTGCCTCTCTGAGAGGCCACTTAATTTAATATCTACTCAAGCCTGGGAAAGGCGATCGTCGTCCTTGAATCCTGATACCGGCGAATGGGCCGGCGAGTGTGTAATGGAGAACGTGAATGAGCACCAGCGGAGGCTGCGTGCGAACGCCAGCAGGTCGGCTACGTCTGTAGGGTCCACTCCAGACTCTCTAAGGCGGAACTTGTGGATTCATAACCCCATCCCACCAGATAACCTAAAACCTCAACACCTCTTACGCTGGGCCTACAAAGCACATTTATTTTTGTTCAGATGAGATTGCCTAGTAGGGGGACTGGAATATGTTGAGAATACTCCTTAATTAGGCCCTCAGGACTGACATCATCTGCCACACCTTCTGCTAATGATCCTGGGCGTGGGGGTTTCAAGGTTGTATTTATTTACTCACTCTTTTTGCATGTCTAAATATAGCTCTGGGTCGTTAAAGCATCTTTCATGGGGGTTGGGGGGGGGGCAGCTAACCCTCTCTGTATAGCCTGGGCGGGGCGTTTAGGTCGGGTGGGGGGATTTCACAAATTAAGCTACCAACGTTAGGTGCTGAAATCTGCCAGATGTGGCATTCCGGTTTAGGGACTGCCTGAAATCATTCGAGCTCACATCCCCTGTTATTTTATGATTGGCCAGCATATTAATGAACTTTGCTCTGCACTGGGTATGAAACGCGGCCACACCATCGGAGAGAGTGCAAAGCTGCTGCGGTCCCCTGCCACTAATTAAAGGATTTTGGAGCTTTAAAACTACAATAAATTGCACAGCTGCAAGGTAACAGCCAGGCAGACATGGTAAGAACGCTAGCAGGAAGTGATGAAACCTCAGATTCCACATCAGTGGGTGCGGTCACATGGGTTGCCAGGGGCTTCCTCATTTCCCAGAATACACAGGGTGCTTGTAGCCTTGTGGTGTCATTATGAGCCATGAGGAAGGGAGCAAAAAATGTGTGGCGTTTTCAAAGCAATCAGCACAGCACACTGCATGGTATCGGTGTCTACTCACCTCAGAAACCATCTTGTGCCCACCTCCCCTCCCCACCGCAGCAATGACAGACAGGCCGCCGCCCATCATCCGGCAGGGCCCGGCCAATCAGACGCTGGGTGTGGACGAGGTGGCACTGTTGCGGTGCCAGGCCTCGGGGGACCCTTCGCCCGCCATCAGCTGGCTGAAGGATGGCATCAGCCTGCCCGGTCACGACCCTCGCCTGTCCCTGGTGGAGCTGGGCAGCCTACAGATCCACAACACTAAGGTGGGTCGGGGAGGACTGAGCACAGAACTGCAGCAGGGCCCTTACTAGTATCTGTAGTATGCTACACAGTAGTATGCTATAGTTATACTGTGCAAAATATCCATGCTACAGTAAGTACTATATGCTACAGTTATACTGTGCCAAATACCCATACTATTGTATGTACTATATACTACAGTTATACTGTGCAAAATATCCATGCTACAGTATGTACTATATACTACAGTTATACTGTGCAAAATATCCATGCT